CATCGAGACGCCGACGCGAGAGGGCGCGCGCACCACAGCCGTCTTAATTATTCAATATCAATTTTGTAATAATTGTAAAACATAGAGGAGTAAATTTTCTAAGATTATATTTATGTTTCAATGACTGAACACAAGGGTTTTCCACAAGTATAAAACAGTTCTTATTTTTTCTCACGACGTCAAATCTATTTTGAATTTCTAACAGATATTCTTTCAAATAGGATATCATATTTTGATAGATACTGTCGGGAATAGCAATTTCAGATTGCAGAGCAGCAGCAGTTGGAAAATTTATTAAATTTTCTGCTTCGAGCTCATTTAAGTTTATCTTCAAATGCGAATACTTTATTTGTCATTTGCCCAATTATCTTGTTAGTTGCGTTTCTAAATTAAGACTATTGAATTTCATAGTAATATCGGTCAAAAAAACTGCAAGTGTCCACCATTCATTTTGCTGTAGTTGGGGGAATTCTTTGCCACTTTGTTGTAAAAAAGTATTATTTCGTGTTTTAAATGAAAGACCCGTTCTAATACTAAAATAAAATATGGAAAATATAATAAAACTTAGTGGTATATTGATTGCACGTCAAGAAAAGATTATTTATTTAATTTTAGTAAAATAAAATTAGCATTTGAATTTGCCTCGTTGAACTATAAAAGGATTCCAAACAGTTGGTCAAGAAATATATCTGCAAGAAAAGACAGGTTCCGTGGCTTTGTACAGAGTTATCAGTTTCAACAAATAGAATGTTCAAGACTTTTTGAAAATTTAAGAGACAGAATGTATCATTGTGCAAGCCTGTCCTGAGGTGCTAGCCAATAAAAATCTAAACAAGTGGGACAGGTAACTTTTGCTTAAAGAGAAACTCATGTTATACTCAGTTTTGCTGTCATGCAATTGGTAATAGGATCTCACTATTTTTTGCATTTCCTCGTGTCAAATATCGAGAGGATTTTATAGCTTGTGGACCAGTAGGGTCAGATGGTGATGCATACTCTAGTGCAGGTTTGGGCAACCTTGGACATGTTTTGGGCCAAACTTTAGTGTGCAAATACGTTCGCATACTGCATTTAAAAACAGTCCATTTTAAAGTAGCGTTGTAGTGCAGTATAGGAAATGAAATATATGAAACATTTCCAGAAATATTCCAAAGAATCAAAACAAGTTGCTGAGTGTCTTGTTGCTGAGAGTTCTCCAAAGTCTACCACATGTTTGTAACTCTAGAAGCAATAAAGTCATATCCAAAAACAGCACCACGAAAGTACATGGCGTGGTCGTCAGCAAGGGAAAACAAAAATTCTAACCAAAACACTAGAAAAGGAAGCTATAGGTGGTCCACTAAGTACCCAATGTATATAGGTTGTTTAACTACTCTCTAATGACAGAGTAGTTAAATATAATTTCACTAGATATCGTCTAGTCCGAAGTCATTTGATGGGTAAAAAAATATTTTAATGACTATTATTGGATTAGTATTTCTATTATAGTCAGAATTACAGATTATTATGTATTCAGAAAACCCCTTAAAAACCCTAAACATATGAAACCCCCAAAAATTCCATCCCACTTGTGGGCGACAGACACTGGCCATCGGCTTATGTAAATAGCTTTTTATATATTTTATGGTTTTAGACTTTTTGAATTTATATTTTTACTATTTATTCTTTTTGATAGCTGTCATTGTAAATAAAATCTCTTATAATAAAATTATTATCCACCAACTGTGTACGTGTCTTCAATATTTTGGTGTCAAAGTGTTAGTTATTTTTAAAAATAAACCATGCCCATGTTAACCAGAGCGCGCACATTTCACATAAAAGAAAGTGAATTGGTAAATCCAGATTCGGGAAACAATGTTTTACCCAGTGATAGTGCTTCATCAAGGCGGGGCGACCATATCGGCTCCCAGTTGTCGTCATCCTCACCTAAGCCTCACCCACAGTTTCTGACAATCATCCGATCACATCTAACAAAAGTCCCGCTCCGTCATTAATCTCATTTATGGCAAGTTCAAATCACTCTGCTCAACATGCTTCGGGGAGTAAACGCTCAACGACAACAGTAAGAGCACGTCAATTAGCTGCAAAGTTGGAACATGATTCAGTTCAGAACATCGAGAGCAGTTCTTCTAGAAGCTCTAAGATGGACTAAGACAAACACTGGTTAGTTAATTCGCATGATAAAGATGTAGTTTCAGAGCATAATAAATCAGTTAATAATATTTATAGGAAGGTGGTCTCTGGTTACAACCCAGAGCAGTGTGTACCGCGCGCCTCACTCGATGAGGAGGGGGCCTGTCGCCCGCGCCTGAGCTACGACCAAGGAGCCCTTCTCCAGGTGAAGGACTCGTCGTAACACCTGTGGCACATAACTCCACATTCGCTATGGCACATACCACAGTAATAAAAATTATGTTTGTTTTTGTGATAAAAATAAAAAGTCTGATATCGCACTACTCACTGAAGCCGTTAGAATTATGCGGCCGATGAGTTCAATAAGCAACGTCAGTAATCTACCATTATTTTCGGGATCGCCATCAGACTGGCTGTACTTTCGCAAGGTTTTCGAGAGAAACTACGGCCAGTTCGACAATTTAGGAAACCTAGCTAGGCTGTCCGCGGCCTTGAAAGATCCGGTACGTGAAACCGTCGCCTCCCTCCTGGTCGTGTCGGACGACTCAAAGGAGGTGATGACTGCTCTAGAACAACAATTTGGAAACTCCGAATTGGTTGTTCTCAATATGTTAGCTGAGGTGAGAGCCTTACCTAAAATAGGAAATTTCGACTCTGGTAAGGAAATAAAGGTGTTTTCATTTAAAATTCGTAATTTTGTCTCTACATTTCAGTTGTTAGAATACTCAGAGTATCTAGCCAGCCCAGAGCTAGTGAGTTCGATCCTCGCAAAGCTTTCGCCACTTTTGAGGGAAAAGTGGGTTGATTATGCATTCTCTCATTCTGGTGTCGGAAGGTTCAAACTTGAACTTTTGTCAGACTTCCTTGTCCACGAAGTTCATGTACATCTAAAGTTCGGTTTAATATCAAAGTGCGAGACAAGGGACGTCCAGATATATATAGGGATATATAGGGCGAGACAAGGGACGTCCAGAAAGAGCTCATTTTGTTATATCTAGAGAGACTGCAAAATCGACTCCAACTAGGAACGAATCGTGGACTATACCTATGCCCACTCATTCGGAACCCAATCCGGGACCTCATTTGTCAATAAGTCATGTTCATTTTGTCATGGTCGAACTCACAACATTGACGGATGTCAAAAATTTTTGACTAAAGTGGGTAACGGAAAATAAGTTTTGGTGTCTAAGGGCCAGTTTTTTGATCCGTAGTCAAATGCCAATTGACCATTTGTTAAACTAACTATAGTTAAATCGCTAACCATTTGTTAAACAGTTATTACGTTTTATGATGTCAATTTTAACTATAGTCAAAGTTAACAAAAGGTTAATTGGTTGCCAGTGCAATGATACGGTATGTCGCCATAATTGAAGATGGGTAAATTATTTATGGATGACAACTTCAATACTTTGAGTGAACGGAACACCATTTTTAACGTTTGAAAGTGTCAAAACGACAGGATGTGACACAAATAAACTGAATCTTGTTTTGTATGGTTGTGTTTTGTGTGGACTAATATACTTTAATAGTAAATGGTGGCGCATACTATTTACTTATTATTTGGCAAATAAAGAAAAGCTTCACCAAGAATGTCAGAAAACAAGTAAGGAAATACCTTTTTTATATATTGTATAGAACTATAATTTTTGTGAATGTTATGTAATGTTGGTAAATAAATAAGGAAACAGGATTATTTTTGAATATATAGTGGTAGTAGTATTTATTTTGTAGTTTATTTTATCATAGTATTTACCATCGAATGTTATATCGGTAAGCAAATAAATAAGTTTTATACAAATCGTAGATTCACATTAACAATAACAGGCCGTTTCAACAAAGTACTCCTTATTTTTATCTTTGTTTTTTTTTTTCAAGGGAAAACCGTAGTTATAATTTCTGCAAGGAAGAAACAAGCAAACTAATGATGTTGCTTAAGGATCACCCTGTTATAACCTGTAAAAAAAACAGATAATTCCAGCAAGAAAACAAAAAGAGAGGGCATGGAAATTGCTGACAGAAAAATTTAATTGCGATACCACCAGATATCGTAGTATGAGGCAGTTGCAGCAAAAATATAATAATATGCAAAAAACTGCTCGAAAGGTTTATTTATGATCATTTATTTATATTTTAATCTTTTATTTCCATACAATTTACTTACTTAACTAATGTTTTAATATAGGAAATGGCAGAAGAGAAATATGGTAGACGCCAAACAGGAGGTGGACGACCACCACCAAAAATCATCGGATACTAGTGAATGGCTAAATACTATAATGAAGGAGTCCATATCTGGTTTACCTGCAGTATATGATATTGATGCAATAGGTTAAACTTATTTTATTTTAAACCTTTTATAAATATGCATTAACTAAAAAATAACTGTATTACGAGTATAATTGTATTTTACAGATAACTCTTTGAATGTGGATGGAAATAATACACAGGATACAAGCAGCTTGACTTATGTCAATTTAAATATTTTATGCTGGGGCAACACTACCGGGCAATGCCATTAATTATCGCGTCAAGGGACGTTAACCGTAGATGTAGCCACGACTTAACGCAATAATTTGACAACGGCATTTACATTGTCGTTTGACATAAGGCGATAATTCAAGTGGCGGTACATCAAAGAGAATAACGCGAGAATTAATGCGATAAAGCGGTCACACTACGCCAGTTAGTGTGCGTCGTGAGCACGACGGGATCGCACGTGTGTTGTGTTTGCAATACATACTATGGAGTGGAGTAACGAGAAAGTAATTGCGTTTCTCGAGCTTCTGCAAACAAAACCATGTTTGTGGGATCCAAAACTGAAAAGTTTCAAGAATCGAGGAACGCAAAGTGATGCTTGGCGCCGACTGATGGAATTAGTACCCTTTGAAACAACTATTGAAGAAATGAAAAAAAAGAAGGAAAGCCTGATGGGTTACTATAGAACCCATTTAAACAAAATTAAAAAATCTTTGAAATCCGGAGCTGGCAAAGATGACGTGTATACAACTAATTGGTTTGCTTTCGAAACGATGGACAATTTCCTACGAGGAGTATATGACGGTGGCCGCACATTTAATACGCAGGTAAGTTATAATATTAGTCTGTCAACAGTAGTGAGTGTCTGTATTTTTTATTTTCACGCATGGATGGGTCAATAAAGTATTACCAACTAAGTCGGATATTAATTTGATTCCAATTTTAATACACAAAGTTTATACTATTTATAAATATTTACGTAATTATTGAAACTTCATAAAAAGTTCAATTCTTTTTTTATTGTAAAATAATCACATACCTATTTATGTATAAGCCATTTTATTTAGAGTACCTAGGTACCAGTCCGAAAAATACTACATAGTTGGAACCCTATCGTTATCACTCAGCTGTCTGTCTATTTATCTGTCCGTTCTTCTGTCTGTTCATCTGTCCTATATAATATTCTTTTATTTTCCTTTCAGACACACGACGACATTGATAATCTAGAAAGAAGTGAGGAAAGAAATAATGGAAATCAGAATAGTCTTCATTTTTCTACTGGAACAGAAAAAGCTTTGCCAAATATACAAGAAGAAAATGAAACTCGTCCAAAAGAAAATAAATCTCAAAATTATAAATTATAGTAAAAAAAGACAAGCGAGAGATGAGTTGCCTCAAGAAATCAAAGCAACGTGACGTCAAATGGATGAAGCTTTTGAATTCATGAAAGAAAATAAAGATGGTGAATATTAAACATGTTCGGAAGACTGCTCGAAAGTAAACTAAAAAAAAAAAAAGAAATCCAAACACGCGTGAGATATTAATGAATGATATTCACAATTTAGTCTTTCGTGCATGTATGGCAGATCGACTTGAGCAGCAGTCTGCAGTACCTCAGTTTTCTAAAGCCCTGTCTCCACACCATCAAGCATTCAGCCCATCACCAAATCATCAACCATACCAGTCGCCTCCAGGCCCCTTCACATCCATGTCACCACACTGTCAAGCATTCAGCCCATCACCAAATCATCAACCATACCAGTCGCCTTCAGGCCCCTCCACATCCTTGTCACCACACTATCAAGCATTCAGCCCATCACCAAATCATCAATCATACCAGTCGCCGCCACCTCACAATACAAATAGTCTACCTCCAGATCAGTTTTCAGTTCAAACTCACCAAGAGAATTACCTAGAAATACCATCGCCAACTCGTGCCTCACAAATAGGAATTACAGAGTCCGGTGAAATGCAGATAATTAAAGATAAATAAAAATTGTAAATGCCATGTTAATTACTTCAAGAAACAAATAAATGAAAGACAAAATATATAGTATGTTGTTTTATTTTCCAAAGTAATAAAAACAAGACATTCATTTATTTGAATACGCAAAGGGGTATTTCCTCTTGCTCCCCCTTGCTTTGCCCCTGAGGGGAGCATCTATTTTGTGTTGTCGACACTTACAAATTATTAGTCGTGGTCATGAAATGTTTTGCGAATTCCTTATCTGGATTGCTGTTAAAGATGAACGTCGCGCAATATTCTTCATTGGCTTGAAAGCGCCTTCACCTTCTCCAATGTCTTTTCTCCAAGTTCCAGGATTTGTTATTCCTCCGTTGACGACTGTGTCAGTGTAGCCCGATGGGGTATAAATTGACCGTGAGTTTGAACTTTTTCTTAAAAAGTTATGTAATAAAGCACATGTCATTACAACTCTTGAAGCTTCGCTTGGTTGTAGAGCTATAGGTTTTCTAAGTACTCGAAATCGTGCAGACATAACACCAAATGCGTTTTCCACAACAATACGAACAGAAGAAAGTCTACGATTGAAATTTCGTTGCATACTTCCTTGAGGGTGGTCTCCGGGAAAAGGTTTTATTGTTTGGGTGTAATGGAAACGTAATGTAAAAAGTTTGTCTCAAAATCTTATGAACACACGAGGTAATTTAACATAGAATTATGCCCTTGGAAACAAGAAAACAAATTATTTTATATAGTACAAATATACTAAGGATGCTCAATAAGTTAGCGAGTAGCTTGGTGGCGTAGTGGATAAGCGCCGCGGCCCGCGCTCGTTGTCGTTAAGCAACTTTCGCAAGGGTCGGTCACGGGATGGGTGTCTAAAAAAAATTATCTCGAGCTACTTCGTGCTTCGGAAGGCACGTTAAGCCGTTGGTCCAGGCTGCATTTGCAGTCGTTAATACCCTCCAATCCGCATCGGGCCAGCGTGGAGGGTTAATGGCCCATTCTCCTTAACCATCCATATAAGGAAGGCCTGAGCCCCTGCAGTGGGGACGTAAAAGGGCTGTTGATGATGATGATGATGAAGGATGCTCAAGATAAAAATATAACTTATTTTCAATAACCCAAAACCCATAAATGAATATTTTAAATATAATATAAACTACTAATATGATTTGTGAATAATCCTTTAATTGTTCCGATCGAACTAAATATCAAGTGCATAAAATAAAAACAGGTGATGGGCGATCCACTCATTTCCAAAAAAAAAGAAGTGAAGTGCAATAAAATATCATAAGACCGGCATACGATTTTTTTTCAAGAAGTAAGGGATTTTTTCTATACAATACGACGCCATTCTATACAACAAAATGAAGAATGCAGAAATCATTAATGTTCAAAAATTAACCGATGAAACAACCATCAAAACTAGGAAATTTCAAGTAGAAATCATACTCAAAAACTATGGTGTGCAATAGCTAGTAGTAAAGCGAAAAAAAAGCAAAGGAAATCCAAGACTATATTATAAATAACTCACGACGCACGTGCAAAAGAAATCATACTGACTACAATCGATAAAAAACACCTTGGACTAATAATGAGTTGCACAAATGCGAAAGATATGTACGATTAGCTATGTAACATATTCGAAAAAAGAAGCTTACAACAAAAATGTTCAATCTTACAAGAATTTTTCTCGTACAAATATGATGTATTCTCTATAGCTGGCTCTATACTATAACGGCTAAACTATCGCATCTAACTGGGAATAATATCAATAAAATAATTTTTATACATGATAACTATGAGAAATGTAAAATGGCTATTTAAGGTACGAATTGGTACATTGTGACTACGTTACATAATTAAGAAGAATATTATTCTGCCATATTTGATTGTTACTTAAAAAGTGTTATTACTTTTAAGTAGCTCTTATATATGTTATGTCAATTAAGACATTCTAATCAGAACTAATCAGTCAAACTTTTTATTTTCTATCATTTGACATAACGACGACGACCGCTTACGCTATTTACGCCGCTGCTGCTGATTTTTTACGTTCACGCCGCCGCCGAAGATTTCGGCATCGGCACACATGCCTAGTATATTATATACTAGGCATGTGTGCCTATACTATATACTGTATATAGTATATATAAATAATGAATCTGTTCTCAGTTTCATGTGCTAATGTCGATAGATACTCATTTAAAATTTCTGGGAATACCTATGAATTCTATAAAAATAATCAAGTATGTGTAGACAACTAGATAAATTCTATATTATACAATTTGCTTATCCCTTTCGGACCAGACCTTCACTTTTGTGAATGCCACTTTAAGATTTTTTATACGTTTATTTAGCAAGCGGAAGCCGAAAGGGACGATCTCGCACGATTCCCGTAGTCGTTTCAACCTATTCAAACTTTTGCGCCGATTCAAACTCAAGTCATGTCAGTGTTGCCAATTTAGCATTTTTATAGCTAAATTTAGCATGTTTTCAAGGGATTTGGCATAATTAAATTGAGTTTAGCATATAGCATATTTTTTAGCATTTTGCTGAAAGTAAAATACTTAAAGCTCATAAACGCGACCGTAGGAGGTAATGTTTCTGAACACAACCTAAGAGTGATCGCAGATTTATAGTCATAGAGTAGTCTTTGGTTAGATAAATTCCGCTTGATTATAATGAGTCTTTGGTGAGGGGAATCCCGCTTGAGTAGATAAATATTCGTTGTGCACTTGGTTCGTTTGTGTTGACATTAGTTGAAATAATCAGTCGACTGCGCTAGGTTACCAAAAAATCTAAAAGTTTATTAAATTGACGATGCCTCCAAAATATAACCAACATTATCGTGTAGAGTGGGAATTGATGTCCGATTTTAAAGACTGGCTTCAGCGGGTCGACAATGACACCACAAAAGCGTATTGCAAGCATTGCAAATCCCAAATTATGGCAAAATATTATTGCTTACAACAGCATGCTACATCTTCCAAACACTTAAAAGCAATGGAGCCATTAAGAGGACAAAAACAAAATAGAGTTCCCGAAAATCGTAAAAAATCTCAATACGCAAAGAGCTGAAAGCACACTTGCTTTATTCATATGTGAACATACTTCAATTTTAAGCGCCGATCATTTATCACAACTATGTAAAAATAGATTCAGCGATAGCCAAAGTGCTGACTTACGACTACACAGGACAAAATGCACAAATGTAATTAAAACATATTGGCACCACATTTTTATCATGAATTAGTAAACGACTTTAGAGATCAAGAATACAGTATATTGATTGATGAATCAACCGACATTTCAATCAGCAAATTATTAGGCGTGACAGTTAGATATTTTAGCTTAGCATTGAAGAAAATTGTTTCCACGTTTTTAGGATTATTAGAACTTGAAGACGGAACAGCCAACGGTATAGTAAATGGCTTAAAATTATTGCTTTCCGGTTTGAATTTGGATATAAAAATATTATTGGTATCGGTACGGACAACGCGACCGTTATGACAGGAACCACCAATGGTGTTCATCAATTGCTGAAAACAGAAACTGGCAAAGATAACTTGGTATTAATACGTTTTGTTTGTCATTCCTTACAATTAGCAATATCACATGCCTCCGAACAGACACTACCTCGAAATATATATTTTCTAATACGTGAAACTTATAACTGGTTTAGTTATTCTTCGAAGCGGCAAATGTACTACAAGGAATTATATAAAACTATGAACTGTGGATCAGACCCCCTTAAAATCCCTAGATTATGCAACACTAAATGGATATCCATCGAGCCAGCTGTGGTTCGCATTTTAGAACAATGGGAAGAATTAAAACTGTTGTTTGAAGTTACTAGAAGCAGAGAACATTGTTTTATGGCGGAAATGTTGTTTAACATATACAATGATCCCGTAAACCATTTATATATAATTTATATCAAGCCAATTGTTCAAGAAGTCCAAAAGGTAAATAAACTTTTTGAAAATAACGATGTTGACATAACTAAACTGTATAATGACCTTATTTGCTTAACGGATTCAATTAGTCGACGCATTTTGAATCCTACAGCCAGTGTTGACGTTTTGACTCAAAATATTGCCAGTTATGTAGATCCGTCACTGTATATGGGCTACGCTTTCGAGACGAAGTTAAGGGAGTATGATTTAGCTGAAGAAGTAGCACAAAACCTTAGACAGAGATGCATTAATTTTACCCTTAAACTTGTAACCGAATTGTCGAGATTGCCTACGAACTTTGAGGTTCTGTGGCGAGCTATCCGCTCCAATTTTATACTTGGGCAACCGCCCTACAATTTGACGAAGAAACGCTCCGCTTATGCGCTTTGGACCAGCGGCGATGACTGACGTCACGCATTACGTAGCTCGCCGGGCGTAT